AACTATTAATGAAAACATATTGGCCCACAGAAGCTACTATTTTAAGCAACAATGTGGGCAAGTCTTAAAATTTAAAGACCAGAATGAACGTTTTCTTTGGCTTTTAAATGTGTTAAGTATTTCTCCAAAAGGGAATGCTATTCATGGCTTTTATCTTTGTTCATCTCTGGTTTTAAGCAAAAACAGTATCTTCTGCAATACATCTAGTCTAAATCCTACAAGAATAAGTCCCATCTGATTATACTGCTAAAACTCAAAAGATGCGCTTTATCTTTAGCCTAAACAAAATTATTCTTGTGAATGTCCCGGTTTCCCTTCCTTATTTCTGCATGTTCCAAAATGTCTTCCAAAAGTTACTACCTACACGCAGAAGCAGAGAGTCTAAGATCCTAATTCTGGATTCCAAACCATAGCATTAGCCACTACACACAGCCAAAGCACTGATGAAAATGTAAAAAAAAAAAAAAAAAAAAAAAAAAAAACAACAAACAAAAAAAAAACAATGCCTGACTGGAGAGCTTGAATTCTTTAAGCATAGGGAAGAAACATCTGAACTGATGGCGGATGGCTGATAAAGCCGCATGCCAGCAAGCACAGCAGAGCCCACGAGTGGATGACTATATTAGGTGTGGAAAGAATGCCGGCGTGTTCCAGCTTCTGCCCCGGGAGCCTGAACACCCTGCTCAAAGGTACCTGGCACTTCAAGGTAAGAGAAATTATACAAACACACCCCATCGCAATGGGGTCAGGGCATGGCTGGCAAGGGTTGCTCTGCTGCTGTCACTGAATGTAACTGAACAAACATGGGTTTCACAGGCCACTTTCTAAATGTGCCCCAGCATGCACCTGGGGTGAGAGTTAAGGACGAAAAGCAAAAGTCCATGAGGAAAAGAGCGACACTCCTGAGATCCTAGTAATGACAAAACTTTGGAGGAAACCAGAGCTCGCTTTCCACACAGGGCTCAACTGGCAGTACACCTGGCAGCCAGTGTCACAAGTACCCAGTGTTCCACCCCTGACTAACACAATCAATATTTCCCTTTAAACCCACAGCTTTTCCCAGAGACCCAAGAACTGCTGGCTCGAGTTCCTGCCTTCAATGTCAGTGAGTCACTGAGCCATTCACCTGTGTGAGGCAGGTTCCCTGCCTCTGGGCTCGGTTCCAGATACCAATCTCGTGAGGCCAAAAAAACTTCACAATCTCAAAACCTTCCACATTTAAACAACTAAACCCTGGGTTCTGAGATGCGGTACAACCTTGAAGGGAGGCACTGACAGCGACAGTCAAGTAAGTGTATGCGGTCTGAGCCTGCCCCACCCTAGGAAATGAATGAATGCAGCCGCTTTCTGGACTACAACATAATTCTACTTCCACACGGGGAACCTGTGGACTGGGATAACATCGATAAATGCATAAACCACCAGTTCGCTTCAAGTCTGTGCAATCGAAATGCTCATTCCAACGAGGGAGTAGCTAACTAATCTCTCTTACATGGGTCTGCCTCTCCTTTATCCCTAAATGCTCATAACACCGCAGTTAAAACTGCCCCGTCCCTGTGTTAAAACTGCCTGCACCTGTGCGGCTGAGCGCTTCCCTTCCTGGCAGTAGCCAATAAAACCAAAAGAGTCGTATGCTTAAAAACACACAGATAAATTACACTACAGAACGAAGGCCTACAGAGCTTATATAACTCATAAATTACTGCAAATTGCTGCACATCAAAAGAGACTTTGGCACACTGCATGCTCCATACAGTCAACAGATAAGAAAATTGCATCATGCTAGGAGGCAGGCAGGTGTTTGCCACAGAGATAAGAGCTTTTTCGAAACTAAACATTCAACAGTGGCCAGCGTGCATGTGCGCCCACGCAGAGCCCTCTTAAGTGAAAAGTTAGATGCGTGCCAAATTGAGACGTGCCAAATACTAGAAAACTGCTCGTCTTGTTCTCTTTCAGGGATCAAGGCCACACTCAAGGAAGAGTTTGGGTAAACGTGATACATGCAAGGACTTTACGTGGGGGCGACACCGTTAACCCAATAAAAGTTAAGCGTGGCAAGATGATACCAAGACCAGTCTCAGTAACAGAAGTCTTCTAAGAACTGTCTTCAATGCTGTTTAAGAAAGCATCAGGATAGGAGGGCAGACAGATAAGGAGTGATCATGACTACTTACCCTGACAGTGTTACTTATTCACAAAGCCTCCTCTACTTGTAGTCCCAACTAAAACGTGTCCATTTATTAACACGTGCTAGTAACTGCCTTGTAGGATTACAGGATCAACTCTGCCAAGCTCCAGAACTGGTTCCACCTTTGTACTAGAAAGAGTTCCCACCTCAGCTAATCCCAGCACTCAGAAGACTATGACAAGATAAACTGAGGACAGTCTGGGCTAAACACAGAGACTGGATCTTAAATAGTATTTTAGAAAAAGGAAAACCATATGGAAAAGGCAAAGACCCTCAGGATAGTCATTCTCTGCGGAGAAAAAACAAGAACACAGGAAAATAGGGGTGTTGAACTGGATTGCCTCAAAAGCAGAGACTGAGAAATACGGGTTAAAATATTAATATTCATTGTTTATAATTGGTGAATACATGGAGATCTACTACCCTTATGACTGTCTGCTTGGCTCTTTTTTTTTTAACTTTTCTGTATGTCAACAGCACTTTATAATATGATAAAGTAAAATGTTAAAGAAAGGGAAATAGAAAAGGAACATGCAGATTCACATATATAAGCATCTATGTAGGTGGCAAAAGTCTGACCATGCAACAGCCAAAGAAGACCATAAATACACGTGAGCTTCCTGGGAACACTCAAATCAAAGACGCCACACTCTAAGTTAAAGGTACATCAGCATGTTTCCTCCCGGCCAAGTGAAAATACAAGCTCATAGGCAAAGCTGTACTGAAGGACATCCAGCCTGACTTAACTGCATCTGTGTTTGTTCACTGCAATGAAAGCCAGATGCCGGAAGGTCACGAACATGGCAGCCTCGGTTTTAGTGTTGAGGTTAAGCTGGATCAAACGGTGACACAGAAGTCACATTTCTGCTGAGAGTTCAAAAGCCATCCCCCAGGACTTAGGCTTACAGCAAGTACAGTGGCTGTCACAAATGAAAACGCAAAAAAATAAAACAAACAAAAAAAATGCTCCCACATCCTTTACCAAATGGTCCATATCAACAAATGAATGAGAACTGAATGACAGTTGTTAAGAGCTACATTTTCCAGGTATCTGTTCTGATACACACATATCATCAGATCATTTTATTAGGGTAAAACATAACTAATACACCAACTTTCTGGAGACATTTTACCACCGAGCCCCATAGGAAAAAAAAATCCTAAGAATGTCATGGAAGAGGCACACAATTAGTGGAGAAAATACAGATGTTTTGCTGGATCCACATAACATCCCCCTAAAACTTAAATTCAGATCATACTCATCAAAGTCTAGATTTTTGTATTAGAGCACCTGGCATATTATAATGAAGCTTTGCAATTCCCTGACTATAGCTAAGAAGTAGTTGTTCAATTTACAAAGGCCTGCCCATCGCAGCCCTCACTACTCCCTATCACGATGCTCAAAAGAATCACTGGTTCCCACTGACTACCCTGTTGCTATCACATTCTAATTCCGGGCATAATTTCATAGGTACCACAGCTTGCCTGGAACAGATTTGCCATAGAACAAGATTAGGAGAAGAAGATGGCCAGGTGTGATGGCATCATTTTTAATCCTAACACTGAAGAGGGAGAGATAGGTGGATTTCTGAGTTCTAGGATAACCTGGTCTACACAGAGAATTCCAGGCTAGCCAGAGTTACATAGTGAGACTATCTGACTATCTTTGAAAGAAGGAGATGGGGGGGGGGGTGTGATTCTAGACTTTGAAATTGCATACAGGTTAGACGAGGAGAGACGGAGCCTAAAGCAGAAGCTGTCCCCGTTCCCCCCCCCCCCCCCCCCCCCCCCCCCCCCCCCCCCCCCCCCCCCCCCCCCCCCCCCCCCCCCCCCCCCCCCCCCCCCCNACATCCCTTAGCATTAGAGTAGAAGTTACCCCAGGGCATGGCCTACACATCCCCCCCCCCCCCCCCCCCCCCCCCCGCCTTTAACACAGCATTTCCATGATCCTGGCTGCACAGCACCAACACGTGCAACTGTGTGCTAGGCTGGCGACTTCCCAAAACCCATGAGGATCAGGACTGAACAACGCTCAGCATGGCTTAAGAGGGAGCTGCCTCTGTTCTGGTTGTGCCTAAGACACTCAGAGCTTCACTGGCCTGCTTTGGATGCAGTGTCTTTACCACCCTTGCCTAGCCATGGGAGCTCCTTCCAACTTGCTAATCCATCAGGCAGTCAGACAAGGTATGCTCAAACTCGATCAGGAAAACAGAGTGACAAATGGCATTTTATAAGCCAGGGAAAAACTGACTATGGCTAAAAAAAACAAAATATGTTTGATCCAGAAAGAAGAAATTATAGATTATTACAAAAACATTAGAATCACGTATACAGAAGATGTACAGAGAAGACAGCCTCACTAACTAATTTCAAGAAAATATCCATACGGTTATACAAAATAAAACGCCCAAGAACAACTGTAATTGATTCTCCATTGTACATACATGCAAATAAACATATATATCCATACAACACATTTATATGCATATATATGGGCAACTATGAAAACATCCGGGCTATATTATCATTACATGCACACTGGATGAGAATTCACTGAGTCCACACAACATCTGTCTCAAGGTATGTTCTGTCATTTTATCAAACCCGCTTTTCCTGACCAGAAGTGTCAAACTCCACGTCCTTACTGGTCGGCAGTTTCCAGAAACATTTTGCAATGGCAAGAGTCTTTTTTTTTTTTTTTTCTTAGAATTACAGGATCATCGGTAGGAAAAAAAAAAGCCGCATTCATGCACGACTTCCACAAATTGGCCTTTTCCTCCCGCAGATAGAAAAGGAGAATGTAAACACTCACCGCAGAGAGCTGGCTCCACGTGGACCTCAGTGGCTTATGGTGAATCACGATCTTCTCCTCTGGCTTCTGTTCTTTGGGCTCTGACTCTTCATCAGAGTCGATGTCAAGGGCCTTTTCTTTGTAGTTTTGATACAGGACTGCATTTTCTTCAAGAAAACAAGTCAGTTAAGTCACTAGTTGCCCCCAAGTAGCTCTGTCACTTGCTCTCAACAAAGGGCTGTATTTATACAACAGTTAGTGCTGGCTTAATTATTAGTTGGGGGAGAAAAAAGCAAATATGTTTTGTCACAAAAGAATATATGGCATTCCAAGTTAAGCCACGTTTCGGTATCTCTGTCCACTGTTCATAAAGCATGGTTAGCCTCAACCCACTGTAACTGATGCTAAATTAAATCCACGTTATGTTTTCTCAATGCCTATCGCTGGTCTTTCCACTTATCTATTTAGCGGACACTTACTGTACATCTGCAATGTTTTACTTTCTGAAAATAAGGGGAAACATACTTGTCATCCCTCCATGAACCAAAGTTAAGTTAGCAAAAAGAATGAACCTCATAGTCACACATTTATTCATCCTCCTGACATTTAGGAAATGTCTCCTAGATGCCAGCAACTGCTAAGCAACTAGGAATACAATGGACAAAAAAAAAAAAAAAAAAGATAAGAAATCTCCATGCTCGTGAAGCTGATATAAAACGAAAGAGATTGAAGTAAACAATTAACTTTCATAGTATTTCAAATATGACTATGTTGTCATGGAGAACAAACAAATGATGGAAGGGTTAGGAATTCTGGGAAGAAAGGGTGGTTTAGGAAGGGCCTCACAGGACATAATTAAGGCAAGACATAAGAGGAAAGAAGGGAAATCATTTGTACAGCTGGAGAAATAGGTGTGTGTGTGTGTGTTGGGGGGAGGTGTTACATACAACACATCTGAGAAATCAGAAGACAACTCCTCGTGTCCGTCTATGCCGTCCACTTTCTTTGTCACCATACCCAGCTCCCCAGAGGAAGACTTGGATTACAGATGTGTTCTCCACACCTGGCTTCATGTGGGTTTGGGTAACACAAGCTCAATTCCTTATATTTGTGCTCTAAAGCACATTATCTGTTGAGCCCAGGAAAGAGTATTTCACGTGAGTGAACCCCAAGTACAATGCCTAGGGGCAGGAGTCTGCCTCCTGTGTCTGTATGGGCAAGAAGCAGCAAGGCCAGTGTGGCAGGAATACCAGCAGAGGGCTGAAATCATAGATGATGAGAGGTGAGTACAGGGCAGGTCATATGAGGCCACTAAAAGAACCCTGGTTTTTACCCCAAGTGGGATCACAAGTTATTGAAGGGTTCATGATCTCACATAAACACATAGTGACAGAAGGGAACATGTGTGTGCAGAGTTGGTCTGACAGAGTCTGATCCAGCCTGGGTGTCGGAGAAGCATCAATGAGGACGGGCTAAGCTCTGAAAGTAGAAAAGCAACAGAGCTCACGGAAAAAGCAGATGGTCACTCTCTGAAGCAAGAATAGAAACCTTAGGAAGTCTGATGAAGGTCGAGGCAGTTTATGATGGCTATGGACAGTGGTCAGACAATGCAAGACGTGTTTACAGAGATGAGCCACACAGTCCAAATCTAAATCTAAATAAAAGAATTAGATATTATCCTGAGTGCAAAAGGGTTCAGTTTCTTTCACACTGCAATGATTGTATTTCATCCTGAACGCAAGGGATTCTGTAAGACAGAAAGCAGAAGACAGGAGATTCAGGAATGATGGGGAAGATTCTGAGTTTGGTATAGGGCTTAGGGAGTTAGGAACGCTTTCCACATCTGCTTTTTCTCTTGGCAACCACAGACAGCTCTGTGTGCACTGTGTCCACAGTAGCACCGGAGTCGATGCAAGACTTGACTATTCTGGGATTGTTCTGCACGTGAAACAAACTCAGTTTCTGCAGCTCTGAAGTAGTTCCGGGGGGGAGGCACAAAGCATACATATGAACAATATCGAGGGGATTTCTCACTCACTGTCTGCGGTAGTATCACCCTCATCTCACGAGAGACAGGGCTCCACGACGCACAGTTCTTGCATCCCTGCTACTCAGTCAATGACTAGAAACATCGAGAACCTGGCACCACAAGTCCTCACCACTGGACAACACTGCCTCATAGGTGCAATCCTCCAGGCCACCTTGCACTCTTCCCTTACACGTGTCAAACAAAAAACATATCTACACCATCGTGTTATAAGAATCAATAAGATACTCAAAGCTGATACAAAAGATGACACGCAGCTGCCTATTCTGACTTTAAAACACTCAAACTTTTCAACCCTTTAAGGCCTTCACAGAATCGAGCTCAACTTCCCAGAAGCAAAAATTATCCTCTGAAGGAAATGCAAAGTGGAGGGTTGCTGACTTCACATCGGTACAATAGTCCAGGAAACAGCAACATGCATTAAATCATCAGTCAGCCCTAAGTTCCAGAGTGTCACCAGGGGTGTCAGTGGGGACGAGTTACTAAGATTCTCAGGGCTTCTGAATTTCCCCAATTATAAAATCAAGGAGATGAATTTCCCTCAGCTAGTCCAAATACCGGATCTGGGTTTCTTCTCCAAATTGCAGTTACTTTCTACATAGCACAACGACTTCATTAATTACCTATTTGTAGCCACGCAGGAACTATTTTACAATCACCCAAATTACATATTTTCAACCTACGTGGCTTTCCACTAGCTTTTCTTATGGAAGGGCAGGCTTTCCTTCTTCATCCACTTAAGGGTGGAAACTCTCAGCATTTCGAAGCCTGACAGAAACTAAGTCCACTCACTGTCCCCAGGAGCCTCCGGGCTGAGGCTGAGACTGCTCCCTCCATGCTCCTCCAGTTGGCTGACACTTGACCCATCTATTTACAGAGCCCGCTAATCTGATTAGCATGTGGACACCTGGCTGAAGCCGCTATTGTTTCTGAAGTCCTTAACAACCAATAATATACAGACCACAAATTATTAAGGTTATGTTTTATTTTTTTTCCCCACCAGAAAAGCTGCATTGCCCCAAATATGAAACTTGGTAGGAAAACAGAAAGTCAGAAGAAAAAAAAAACGAAGGTGAAAATAATATTAAGGAAGAAAAAAATGAGGCCTAAGGAAATATCACCTAGGATCCAAGCATCAATTTCAGAGTGATTGACTAAAGAGCTTGCTCTGTTTTGAGGCAGGTGGGATGGAGCCAGGGCAAAGAAGAATGAAAGTTCCCAAGATGTGAACCAAAAAGGTTACCAGCTTATAAAAAAATGCCCCCTCTAGGTAAAAACCTTAGCTTTGTACTGTATAGTCCAAGACAAAGTTGGGCAATTTTGGGTTTTCATCACAAGCAGTCTTTGTTACTGAAGTTAGGTTTCAACTTATAATTGATGCACCATATTGTAGCCGCAATAAAAGTCTGGAAAATTAAATGCTTACCTTCCCCATCAAATGTTCCTTGTCCTTTCAGCATTTTTTTCTAAGAGACAACAAAAACAGAGAAGAGAGAGAGAGAGAGAGAGAGAGAGAGAGAGAGAGAGAGAAAGCAAACTGTGTATGAATGAGCCAAGTAGAAAATACAGCTATTGTAAGCAAATGCCCCCCTTTCTTTGTTATACCCTTCAGATTTCCAAAAGCACACTGCAGAGAATCCCATGCCAATTCACAGCAACAGTAAAATAAAATGGACAGCATCCCCCACATCCTGTTAAACAAGACTAAGGACCCTGAAATTGACTGGCAGTCCCCACTCCCTGCTGTTAAACTGAACTTTGCTGTCCTTGACAGCTTGGGGGAGGGGCTTGGACATAAAATGTAAAGTCTTTCCTTCAAGACCTTAAGTCTAAAAGGAAACAGGCATGTTCGTGTATTACATATGTGACATTTATATAGACTGGTTCCAGTTCTCTGATGAATCAGGAGAAATACGTGACTGCCAAAGGCAGTCTTGGCCCTCTGGCTTCGATCTGTCTTGTTTCTAGGAAAGCGGCACATCCAAACACCCCTCTCTAGTTGTCTTTTTTTCCTTTAGGTCCCGGTGGAAAAAATATTCAGTAAGTGCAGCTAGGCCTGTATCAGAGTACACAACTTCACACCCTCACTCAAGTTCTAAGCTATGAGCTTGTCAAATACACCCAATGATTAATGGCAATAAAATATTAAAAGGGGACAAGGTGACTAATGCAAACAAGAGAGGTCAGCGCATTGTTCCACGATTGGGACACTGAGTAAAACTCAACTTACTTGAACGTTATCACAAGTGCCACGATCATTCGAGCCTTGTCCCCAGCACATTCATTTTGAGTTTAATGAAAGCCATGAGAGCCTGCCCAGCCCTACCTTTATCCTTCCCAGGCTAGAGAACTTCTCCTTGTCTTCCATGACTGCCTTCAGAACAGGCTGGGACATCCTGTTCTTCTTCTTTGAGCTGGTAGGGCTGTCAAAATCAAACCCGCTGACCACTGCCCTCCGGTAAGACGTGGACCGCAAGCCTCGCCGAAGGGAGCCCGGGCTGTCCATGTCGTTGTCGACGTCCCCTTCGTCCCCTTCGTGGCCCAAGGGTGCTCCCAGTCCCTCCACCATGCTGCGCACCTTGAGGAGTCTCCTGTGGGGCTCTACGTTTTGACTGTTGGATTTACTCAGCTTAATTTCCGAGGCAAGGCTTTTCGGGATAATCTGCTGCTTTCCCATCTTGAGGGCAGCCGGGCTGTTGGTACTCAAAACTACGGGAGGGTTCTGGAGCTCATTCCCTTGGGAGGACAGCCTTTGGAGCGGCAGTTTGTGTTCTGAAGACCTGGGTTGGGGAGCAGGGGAGAGTCTCGAGGAGCCCGGTTCCAAGTCCCCAGCCATCTGACCAGTTTGAGAAGGGGAGCCAGGTGAGTCGCTTTTCGGGACAAGGCCATTGGCAATGGGCGAAGGTACCTTACTGGCAGTTATCCCGGTGCGGTCCTCCTCCGGGTCGTACGAGGCAGGAGGGTCGGGAGTCCGGGAGGCATAGGACAACAGCACCGTAGGCGAGGCCACCGTGGCATTAGCAGGGGACTTCGGGGAGCCTCCCGACGCCGCGTGGAGAACTAGGGGTGACTTGGGCCGTCGAAGTCGAGGAGAAGCAGCTCTATAGTCCGGGGACACCGTGCGGCCATTGGTCACCGGCCTCCGGTGGGCGCACAGAAGCTGGGGGCTCCTGGACACCGTCCTGTCGTCCGGGGCGGCGGGCACTCGGGCGGGAATCTGAGGCGCCGGCAGAGCGGCCAGTTCTTCCACGGGGAAGTCGGTAATCAGCAGCCCGCTGGGGCTCTGGTAGGATTGTGGCCTCGGCTTGCTCCGGCCGAGCAGCTGGAGAGGAGGGGTGGACCGTCTCCGCCACAAAGGGGTGACGCCGTTGCTGGAAAAATCCACCTCGCTTTCGCTGTCCATAGCGGGGCCTTGGGGCTGGCCCCGGGAGAAGGAGAGCTGCTCAGGTTGCCTAAGAGGAAGGAACTTTGCCTCCGGACAACTGGTCACGTCTCGGAGCCTAGCCGGCTCCCAGTTTGGCAGTCACACGAGTGTCGCGCGGGACTCGGCAGCGCCGCACTTACCCGCCCTTTCTCGGGCACAGCGCCTCCCGCCACGCTTGGCGACCCCTGGCAGAGATCCGTCCTGCAGCCGATAGGATGAATCCGGTCTCTTCAGCGTTCTTCCCGCGCCCAAAGCCCGCCGGCACCTAGAGAGCCCACTCGCAGAGGGTAGCCGACGCGCAGGACACTTGGGAAGAGTTCAGCTGGCACCGACAGCTCGCCTCGGGACGCTCCCCGGCGCCTCCATCCAGACGCCTGCTCCGCGCCAGTCCACCGGGCCCCCGCTGCACGGCCCGCGGCGCGCTCACCCTTCCGGGTGTCCAGAGCGCAGATCAAGGAGTGCACCGCGCCCCGTGGGTGGCCTGGGTCCGCACCGAAGCTCCCGGCTAACAACCCCGCGCAGCGCAGCCAAGGCCCGCGGCGCTAGCTCCGCCCCCACGCTAGGGCCAGCCCCCTCCTGGCCCCGCCCCTGCACGCCCGGGAATCTTGTGGTGAGGAGTCCCCGAGTCCCAGTCCCCGCCTACACCAAGTGCACTCTGCTCTCTTTGCCTAGAGGATTTGCACACCTGAGCCGGGTGCTAGACGCGGGTACCAGAGTGCCAGTGCCGGAGCGCAGGCGGCGGCCGCAGAGGCCAGCTGGAGGGCGCGGTCGTGCCTCGGAGCACAACGTGGGAACCGTCGTGAGTGTAGGGCCGAGGTATACTTTCTGATCCCTGAGCCCTGGAGGAGGAGGTTGAAAGGGTAAACCATGTTTGAGCAAGGCGCTATGCCCCTTGGAATGGTGAACCAGGTAGGAACCAAGCTGAGCCACCAACAATCTTCAAAGTGAACCTCACTCCCCTACTTACTTACAATGCTGTGTGGACTATTGACAGATTCGCTTGTGGGCAACGCAGAGGGAAACTTGCTCGGAGGCCAGGTGGAATTTTTTTCATAATCTTTGGACCTTGTGTGTTTCAAAGTTAAACAGTAAAAGTAAACAAAAGACCAAAATATGTATTGAGTGTGCAATTGTGTATAATGCACTCTGAAAAATGAATGTGTAGAATAAAATAGTGTACAAGGAGTAAATTCCCAATTCTTATCAGAGATTAGGAGGCCGATTAGAGGTGGGTCAAGCCTTACAGACCAGTCCCCTCCCTAGCTATCCTTAACCAACCCAAGTTCAGGGCCTGAGAGCCTTCACTCTCTTGGCCTTCTGGGTTGACACTCCCCCACAAAGGCCCCCTGATCTAGAACACTCTGTGCTGGTTATTTCCCTAACCACCTGGTCTCTTTCTTTACCACACTAACCCAGCTCTGTAAATCTGCAAGCCTACGCGTTTATGTGTTAATGCTTAGCCTTTGCATTGTAACCTGGAAGAAGGCAGGGGCCATGCACCCAGTAGACGGCAAGTATCTGTTGAGTGAGGAGATGAGTAAGAAAAACGAGCATCCCTCCCGTAGCTGTTGGTTGCCAAGCTGACTCTGTCTTGGTGAACATCCTGATGTGTAAGAACAATGAGGCAAACTGGAAGGGAGATGAATTCAGTTGGTTGGGCCTGTAGAATTGGTACTGTTGGCAAGACACACACATGGGAGTCTCCAAGCTGGCAGCATTCCTGCGACCACACACTGTTTACAATCTATGCTTCTTTCTGTTTTGGGTGGAGAAAGGGAGGGTGAAGTTTGTCGTGTTTCTTTATACGTTTCTATACTCACCAAAGCTGTACAACTTTGATCTGAGGAAGTTTTGTGAGCTAGAAGAAAAGGCATCATGATGTTTACCAAAATCATTTTTAAAAAAGAAACTTGCCAACCGTTTCGTAAGGAATGAGCCAGATTCTGTGTTTATACACAGGCCCTTAATATAGGGAATTTTGTATCATTAATACTAGCTTTATATAATAAAATAAGTTTAATTTCAGAAAGTGTGGAAACTGATAAATGAGGGTTTAATATGGATGACAATCCTATCTGTAACCTAAGTTAAAGGGCTGTAAGTGAGAGTTGGTGTCTCTGCGAATTATGTTGGTTTTTCAGTTGTGATTGGTGTTTATGAAGAAGTCCCAGATTCTTCTTCCATCTTCCTGAGCAACCGCCTAATCCCCAAACAACAATGAAACAGCTAATGCTGTTCTTTGATTCAGGGAAATTTGGGAACACACAGACTGTGTGTCTTAGCCTTCGGTTAATTTATTGTATACTTGCAAATCTAAGATATAGTCAGTCGGTTGCCAAGCAACTAACTAGTTAAAATATGGCACAGTGCAGTGTTATGGAATTCTTTATACTTACTGAAAAAATACTTGTAGACTTGCTTAGACAAATTTTTAGTACCAAGCATGTATAAAAATGTAAAATAGAAGTAGAGTAAATTGGTTGAAGCTTTGTATGCCATGACTATTTCTTTACAACACTTTTATTTTCACTCAGCTATTAAGATGTGTGGCTTCTCACACACACACACATAAAATAGCATCAATAATAACTGTTTTTAAAGAGCATGTTGTAGTCGTGTGTCTTTCTAGCCGTTGATAAACATATTGGAAATCTGTTGCTTTCATTATTCTCTGATTAAAACACAGAAATTTTTATACAATGTAATTATATGGATCTGTGTGTGTGTTGTTGTTGCTCACAGAGGTAATGACAACTGTATTGTCGATTCCAGAACTTTGTCAGTAGCTTCTTTTTTGATAGCAAGAAAATGTCCAGTTTCAGAGAAATTAAAAAGCAGGACTAAATGCTCTTTAAAATTGGAATAAAGGAGTGTGTTGGGCAACACAGATTATTGATGTATTCCAAGGCCATATTTTTGACTGTTTATATCTATTCCACCCAGTCCTGCAGCTGTTCGGTCCCAAAGAAACACACAGATGTCTACATTAATTATAAACTGATTGACTTAATATCTCAGGCTTCTTATTAACTCTTATAACTTATATTAGCCCATAATTCTTGTCTGTGTTAACCATGTGGCTTGGTACCTTTTTCGGCGAGGCAGTCACATCTTGTTTGCTCTGTGTCTGGCTTCCTCTGTGTCTGGGTGACGACTGCAGATTGAAACTTCCCTCTTCCCAGATTTCTCATAGCCCTACCTCTGCTTCCTGCGTGGTCATCCTGCCTACACTTCCTGCCTGGCTACTGACCAATCAGCATTTATTCAAAATACAAGTGACAGGGTACAGACCATTGTCCCACAGCACATATTGAATTATTAGAATATCCAGTGGTATACTGCAGGATATATTTACTTTTATTGTTGTGTTTAGCACAATAATCGGGCTAATTTAAAGTGCATTATGTTGATTAGACTTAATACCTTTGATGGTCTGTCCATGTACCTTGAATTAATTTAGCTACACCTTCCACAAATACTGATTGGGTGCAGTTGAAAGCGAAGCAGTGGGCCAGGTCTACTCGAAGGATCCAACTTGTCTCAAGGGCCTGAAGCGTCGAAATGACAACAGAGACACTCAAATTGAGTAAGATAAGCAGAAAGCTCCCTGTTCTACGGAAATCTCTGTTAGCAGATACAACCAGGCCAAAGGAATGGGCTTCCGAAAGAGACGTTCCAACGTGAGCAAAGTGTGGGGCAATGGTTAGACTGACGACATTTCTTAAGTGCCAAGTGGTTGCTAATCTCGTATATAGATCTGATGATTCTTATTTAGAGTTCTACTTGGATGATATAGGGCAGCCAACTGTGGCTCCCTCATAGAGACTGGGAGAAAGGATGTGGGCAGGCATTCGGCTCAGGGAAGACAAAGGAACACGCTGATCCTCTTTGTTCCTTTACTGGAGAGCCTGAGGATGGCCCCCTAGGTGTGTAGGTCTGTAGGTGTGTGCAATTCTGGGGCACACACCTACGGAATTGCAGCAACTGCCAAATGAGAGTCTGCAGGTCACCAGAACAATACCAGACACAGGTGCTGTGGGTTGAGGAGTAAGCTAAGTGTGTGTGTGTGTGTGTGTGTGTGTGTGTGTGTGTGTATGGGGAAGGATTGGCAAAAAGTACTGATTCCATGGAAGATTCTGGCACTTAAAATTCCAAATTAATAATTTAGGAATTCTCATCCTGTTTGCAGTGGGTCTGGAGTCATTTCTGGAAAGCAGGGCACAGCAAAAGGAAGTGTGTAGCCTACGTGGTTTGCGATGTGTTGATCTCTAAGCACGCCCGGATATACACCAGGTTCCTGTTCCACCCTCAGTGCATAGGTAAGCACGTGTGTGCCCAACATATGTTTCTTGGCTTTCCCATCTGCTTGATACCAAGGGCTTTCTGGACAGTTTGGACATTGCTGACAGGAGTGTGCAGGATTGTCCTGATTTCTAAGTCTCTGATTTAAGATTTTCTGATACAAATAAAATTCAGACATGATAACCTGGGATATTGACAGTATCAATTTAGGTTACCCAAGATAAGGAATTCTTGGTTGAAGTTGGTGGGAAGATTCTATAGCATGGGCCTTTAGGAAAAGGAAAGTTCAAAACTGACAGTTTTCTAAGGGTTCAGCAGTTCAATGATTTCAGTGCACATGGTGACAAGTCCCCGTCTTTGGCTTGGCAGAAGCCCTCTTTCTTTCCCTTTACCCAGTAACATGGGCCTGACAAAAGACAACTTGGCTTTTCAGAGGTACTTAGGATTTAGTTATAATCCTTGGAAAGTAATAGAGAACTCTGCAATATTTATTTATATTCTGTCTCTTTCTGTGTATATGGCTTTCTCTGTATATGTGTCTCTCTGTATCTCTATCTCTGTATGTGTCTCTGTGTCTCTATCTCTCTGTTTCTGTCTGTCTCTTTCTCTCTGTCTCTCTGATGCACACTAGATATATTATGCTATAAATGTGAGTTTTGTGGAAAGGTTCCCTCCCTACTTTTTGGACTCCATAGGCCTGATCTAGTCATTGTGCCAGGTCACTGCCTGCTTCCTACTCCAGGGACGCAACCGAACTAGAAAAAGAAGCATGGTTGAGGAGTGGGCCTTGTGAAAGATGAATCCTAAGGGGAGCTCTTCCTCCTGTCTTCTGCTGTCTTCAGTACTGAGAAGGAATTCTTGCTAGGAGGCAAGGACCAGGCCTAGGTCATCTCTCATCTACGAGCAGAATCTTTGACCTTGCTGGTCAGAAGTCTGCCATTGTGAACACTCTCATCACACCCTCTATAAGGGACAATCTTTCTCATGCAGGTCCCTTTGGCCCTTTTGACAACAAGAGCTTTCCAGTTGTTGGATAA